TCAACCTATCGAGATTACAAATAAAATTTAGAGAATATACAATAGGTGATACGTTAAAATTCACTCAATAATGAATACTTACCGTTGGAATTAAGCGAGCCGCCAAGTGAGAACTACACCCAGTCGTCTGATGTGTAGGAAACCCAATAAAAATTCTACCTTGTTCAGGAAATGGCAACAAATTTTTAAATATTCCAGATATTTTTTTGTTTTTATCTTCAGAAAAATATTGCTCGTCATATCCAGTAAATATCATCTGAATAATAGTTTGACTTGGTGGTTTCTTTTTTGTTGTACGCTCCATATCTGCCGAAAATGCTCTGGATACTCGTACATCTAAATGGCCACTGGCTACTCGAAGAAATATGGATGTTTCTTCTGTCGGATAGTCACTCAGTGTCGATCTAGTTAGAGAAAATTTCGAAGGAATAATTATCCTCTCGACGTCCAATTGCACTTTCCGTACGTCAACAGATTTTAAATGGAACATTCTTTCTGGCGATGTCGTATTTAAGCCGGAGAATATAGTCATAGTCCTCGGGTCAGACATTTTTTTTGTGATACGTATAATCCTCTTATCATTGAAATATACGGATACTTCGCGAAGATTCCCCGTGAAACCCTATAAATAATGTACCATAATTTGTAAATAATCCAAATATAAGGGCAAATGCATAAGCAAGCATCAAAGCTTTTAGATGTGGAGGTCCCTTACCAATGATGTAGCCAAAAATCGACCAAAATCTTCAGCGTTAGGAAACTAGTAAAAAAAAAAATTTATTCCGTTCATTAAAACGAACATTTTATTTTATAAATTAAAACCAAAGCCAAATAATAAAGGAATCATAAGATGCATACCTCCGCATAATCTCTCATATCCATAAGAAAAGTTGTCCACGTTTGATCTTCTTGACTAATAGCAGCACGTTTAGCGAATAATTGATCCCCTTTCCAATAAAATGCCATGCCTTGACCTCCTGAGGATACACTATTATAATTTAAAAAGTTACAATTAAAACAAGATACCAAAAAAAAAAAAAAAATACTAATTATGTCAATTATGTGCGTAATGAATTGACTAGACAAAAAAAATAATTGCTCGACGATTGACCAAAAAAACTTTTGCAAAAATCAATTATGTAAACTTAATCGAGTATGATCGATCAGGCACATAATTTATAAGCTGAGTATATATAATAATTAGGCCAATAATCGTTCGACTATATCTTATCTACTAATAAAAAAAAATAAATAAAAAATAAAAAATAAATCTAAAATAAAATAATAATTTATTATATGAAAATTTTCTTGGTCGGTCAAATTCAACCATCTGAACGACCAACTTAATTGACCTACTTTTGATCGAGCTTACAAAATCATGCTCGATTATTGACTCAACTCGATCAATAATCGATCATGATATAGTCGAGTCAATTCACTATATGTGCGATAGTACTCACAATGGCTCTTCACAGACGGAAAACAATGAATAGAACCCAACTCCAAAAGCACCGATCTATTTAATGACGTCAGAAGTATATGGATAGATTGGTTAGATCTACAATAATCTCACACATAATAATGCTTGTAAAAATATTTGCTAAAACCTTTTGTTCGTCAGGATTCCCTTCAGCAATTTTCTTTAATCGACTCCAATCTTCGGGACGAAACACGAAGCCATTGTTTTTAAATAATATCCTTACACACTTGTCTTTTAATATATTGGACTTATCTGCACTTTTGTTTTGAGTTTCATATATAATTTCTACACTTGAAGACTTTGCATCGTCTGAAATAATAAATAATTTCGTATTCGAATTTCATACTTTTTTAGAACAGCCAGATATTAACACAATTAATATACCTGCATTTTGCATTAGCTCTCGAAATACTACAAATTCTGCTGAATACCTGCAGTAAAATTTTAAAAATTTTAATAAACTTTGATAAATTCGAATCATGTATATTTAAAACCGAAAATGTAAGAACCTCGCCAAGATCTTATCAATTAAGTGCCTTTGATTAACCTCAACCCGCTCTTCACCGGCAGTGTGAGAAAGAACTTGTTTACGAAGTTCATCCATGGTTGAGATAAGCACCGGCTGAAATTTTTAAAGGGAAAGTTTACAAATTTTATAGTAAAAAACTTTTTTTTTGACCAAATTGAATGTTCAGGTGTACGTTATATTTAGAATATTACATTTCGTAAGATTCGATCACGTGAAAAACGCGTATTTGTTTGTTCACCATATCGATATCTAAACTGCTTATTTATCGGTGAGACAAATGCGTTGAATCTTCCAGAACCATACGCAAGCCAATTACATGTACAAACTTTATGCTCTTACGTAAGATTTTAACTGTACAAAAATGCACGCGAACTCTAGCAGTTTCGCGGTTACAGAATATAAAAGAACAATTACATTGCCTAGCCAAAAAAAGACTTTATTTTATAATATGATTTTGATTATATTAGGATAACAATGTACTTAAATGTGTATAGTAGACAGTTTCTCGATTAGGCCACCGGGTGAGTTTAGTCATGAATATGATGAACGCATTATAACCAACTCTTTGATACATATACCATATAACTGCAAGGGTTTTATGAAAAATGTCCACAAATAAGATTATTATCTTTAGAGTATCGGTATAATCCTCAATCACTATATCAAGATCACGGAGGATTAATTAATAATACCCTGACCGTATGTGAATAAGCGGAAACTTCGTTCCAACGGATCAGGATATTATTATTACTAATATTAAGATATTAAAAATCATGATTGTTTGACTTTTAATTGCTTAAAAATGTTTTAATGTTTTAATGTATCGTTACGTGATCATAGTGATAGTTGAATAATTTGAAATATATCACAAGATAAGTTCTCGGCTATTGCTTCGGACATTCATTGAGCATTCAAGTTCGATTAGGAATAAATGAAAAACAATGGTTTGTTTAATTTTGGAACTTTCAATCAACAAATATTATAAATTAACGTTAATAAGAAATTTTTTTAAATCGGACAAAATTATTTTTTATTGTCTTTTACATTTAACGGTAATATTTGTAACAAACTCAAATTGTAAAAAGATTACATTTTTTTACTGAAATTGGCCTAATCGGATGCAGGGACACGGAAATTATGTGATTTAGTGTGATCAAACAAAATCACACTAAAATCATATAATTTTACTTCACTTATATTACGTTTCAATTTAGTACTAAAAAAAATTGTTAGCGTTATAGTACTATATATTAAAGTGCAAAATAAATTAAGCGTTAATGTTAGTAGTATATTAAATGCAAAATAAATTATCTTTAGTAGTACAGTCAAAACCTCTATAGTCACACCTTCGGGATACAAAAAACCGTGATTGTAAAGAGGTGTGACTAATATAGAGGTATTTTCTATA